CGAAGGTCCGGGGCCCAGCCCCGGCACGTGCGGCCGGGTGCCCCGTGGCACCATCATGCGTAATTGTGGCATATACGTCGTCCTTGATGCTGGGGCGCCTAGGGCCGACGAGATCACTGTGAATGCGTACGCATTCACTCGAGCTGTCTGCTTGTCGTCTGCCACCGATTGCTTTTTGCGGGATGCTGGAGCCCGGCACATTTGTTGGCTGCAAGCACACTTCGCGGGTGGGATCCTTCGGGTAGTGAGCCAAGCAGTGTTGATCTCTGCAGGTTGCGATTGTGTTGCCAACGCCGAAGGAGCCGAAGGTGAGTCACTTCCGCCCCACCAAGGTTCATGCAGAATTCTTGAAACATCTGAGCGTTCAAGTCATTCGAGTCGGTGTCGCTTGCATTTCCAATCAAGCTTGTGGGACCAGCGTGGACGGCACTTAACAAGAACGGGGCGCGATTGACTATGGTGAACGGCACTTCGCTGCAACCTCCATAGAGCCAGTGATGTGGCTGCTCAGACCATGCAGGCCAGTAAAAATGAGACTCCATTTCAGCGCAAGTTTCGCCCATCGATGCCATGTTGATTTTTGGCTCCGGCATCACCACAGCCGAGCGACGGCCGAGATGCGGAACCATTGAATCTACAACGGCTGTGGGCCGAGCCGTACTAGCACCTCTGTTGATATCACAATCTGCTTCCACATGGCGTCCAGCGTCCGGTTCGATATCTGCAAGCCACGCGGAGCCACCGAAACGCTTGGTGAGAAACTCGGAGAATGCCTTGGTGAGGACATCTGTCGGAGCTGCAGGCCCAGGCCGAGCCTCGATGGACCTAGCTCCCAAACGACGAAGAGGCATTGTTGCCATTGACCTTCGGCGTGACGTCCGGTCTGTAAGCGGAACTTTTGGATTCAACCAGCACTTTTGTGCATGTGTGCCTGGGCTTGTGCACACGGTTTGTCATTGCCGTTCTTGCTCTTGTGCTCGCCTTTGCCTCCCTGGGATTTGCCGCCCGCCGCTGTGGCAGGAGCGAGCTTGGCCGCTGCAGCCTTTTGCTGCGCGTTTCGCTCTTCTATCTCTCCAACGTGATATGCAATCAAACCGTTGATGGCATAAATCAAGGCGTCTAAATTGCTGGCGTTGAAAACGGCAACTGTGGCGTCGAGTTCTTTGATCTCATTGAGCTTGCTCTTCAGAAGCGCAAGGCCTCCAGCTTTATTGAGCATACCGGCACTGCGCCTGCAGCCGTGGGCCAGCGAAGTGATGCGCAGCCCCCTCCACCTGAAGCAGCTGCTGCCCTCCAAGGTTGCCGAGGCGACAACTCCCCTCACGACGCTCCCCCATCGGACGATGATAGTGACATATAATGACGGAGAACGTGGGGACGATTTTGTCCGGTCCGCGGCAGCGCGTCGTCGAGGGAGAGCGCCGGGCCCGCGGACGAGGGCGGCGCGGAGGCCGGGGCCGTGCAAGCCGTCGCGGGCTTTCGCGCGCTCCGCCTGATGCGGAGGACGCCGACCCGCAGCTCGCAGCACAACAGCCCGCGCCCGAGACCACCACAGCATCCCAGCGACGGGTGCTCTCCGCCGAGGCGGCCGTCCAAGCAGGCCTGCAGACGCTTGATGCTGTAGATGTCACGGCCACGCTTCGCAAGCACATCCTCACACTCCAAAGCGTGCCGGTGCAAGTACGCAGCACGCTGTGCACTCCAGCTCGTTGCGGATGACAGCTCCGCTGAGTCAATTGCGGGGATGGAAGCTCCTTTACCTCGCCGCTGCACCGCGCCCCGGCCGAGGCCCGCATCCCCGCCGCCGATCGGTCGAGCGCCGCTGCAGTGCCGCTGCGGTGAGTGGCCCTCTATACGAACCCCTGAGCCTAACTCCGCGCGTGCTGCCCGGACAGAGGTAAGCTCTTCCGGCCCCCCCGATCCTGACCTCCTCGCGTTCAGGCCAGGATCCGTTCCTCGCATCTTTGCGGACCGCTGGACGAGGATCGGCCTCTGGACCTTCGGGGATTAACGAACACCTACGCATATTGCTCGACCACAAAGCTGACTGCACACTCTTGCACTGCGCTGCCCAGCGGCTTGCCGCGTGCTGAGGTGCCAGCACCGGTCGTCTCAGCCATCCGAGCCGGGGCTCGCCGCACCCCATGCCAGTGGCTCAACGGCCGTCGCAGCGGCAGCGCAAGCTGCTGACCACCTTGCTGCTCAAGGCTGCCACGTCCCCGCGTGGGGATAGCCCAGAGCCAGCGCAGGCACACGTCCACGACGCAGCCCGGGTACCGTCTCCGAGGTTGGCACCGGCACGCCGCCCGCGCTTGTGACCAGCGCGCGTTCGAGACGCATTGCGCCACGTTACCTTCCTCCTCCCGAGCGCTGCTGTTGTCCCAGGCTGGGCCACACGCCGCTTGCTGCCTTACAAACCGCCCTACTCACGCAGCAGTCACCATCCCCTCCGCGGAGTTTCGGGTGCTCCTGGTTGGCGCTGCTGCTTGCACCCCGGCGCTGTGCCGTACCCCAGTGCCCGACGCGCGCCGGATAGAGATCGTCTGCAACGGCTTGCCCCTTGGCACGGGGCTCAGCTTGCTGTCGACACCACTTGCGTCAGCCCTGTCACTCCGGCCTTGTGCTTCAGCAAGCCACGAGGCGTAAGCGTCGCGACACGTACCCCGAGCTTGCGCGCTCGCCGCGCTGCCACCTCGTTGTTCGCTGTCGAGGTTGGTGGCCGCTGGGGCCCCGAGCCCGCAACGTTCCTCAGGGTTCTCGCGTGGGCGCGAGCCGGGCGTGCGCACGCTGCCGTTCGGTCGGCTCTGCGTGCGGCCTGTGTCCCATTGGAGCAGCATCATTGCCTTCGAGGCGCAGAGGGCCCTCGCCGGCTCTCTGCTTGAGCTCCCCCTCGTCGACACTGTCGTATCTGCTGCCGGTGAGCTGGCTGTGCATGAGGTCCCGCAAGACAAACGCTGGCTACATGCCCCCGCCCCCAGCCGCCCCCAGGGAGGACCTAGGCTGCATGCGCCGCGTAGACTGCAGGTGCACTAAGATCCCTCTCGTACTGTTCGCAAAAAGTGTGTGAAAGCTCATGTTCGCCGGAACCTATTTGGTGGCGATACAAAGGAAAAGATGCCATGTAGCTGTCAAGCTCCGACACCCCAGAACAACTGAGTTTTTTGATCTTGGTGTTAGCTTCCGTGGCTAACTGTGTTGACTCATGCAAATGCCGCTGGTTAACGATGCGGACAGCCTGACGACCACAACCAAATTGCGCACGCGATTGTATAAGCTTGAGGATCTCGGGTCCTTTCTTGCCCTTCTGACATGCGGCAACCACTTTTGCGACCACATTCACATCATTCACATGTGTTTTGTTCATGTCTACGGCCGTGTCCGTGCCCAGCGAGCCCCGCCAGCAGTGCGCGGCGCCGCTTCGTCGGCATGGGCCAGGCGTTGGTGGGCAATACTGGCAGTGTCGGTACAACAGGCCGTCACGAGCACTGCTCTCGGGTCAGCTTGGCCGGCGCCTCCCCACGCGAGCCGACAGTCGGCCCCAGAGTTGGAACGCGTGCTCGACCTTGCTGACACAGCAGGGCCGAGCCGCATGCCATTACGTGGCCCTAAATAAGTCGTGTGGTGGGACCCGGACGCTGCGCCGAAGCGTGCAGTAGGCACTTGAGACTCATGCCACTGGAAAAAAATCGTTTCGACGCCAAATCGCAAAAAAAAACGCATTCATCATGAAACTTTTTGATGTAAACCATGGCAGCAACAAGGTCCGGTGCTACAAGATTTTGACGTCGAACCAGCCCCCGTAACCCGTTTCCGGCAGATCTTTAGTGTAGATGCGCCCTGAGGTCGCATCGTCTGTCGCCATGGCACGTCGAGCTACGGCTGATGACCTTGTGTTGGTCACAGCTCAAGCACGCACAACTACACACAGCTTCGACAGAGCAAGTCACCTGGTCGCTTGAGCGAAGGCATGGCCTACGCAAGTCTGAATGAGGATTGTCTGATGCAATCACTTTAGAGTGAGTTTGTCGTGACATGTGAGGCACGTTACGTGGGCAAGTACTTAGACTGCCCACGCATATGGCGTGCCGCCCCTGTAGCCGTAGTGGTGCGAACTAACATGGTCGCCGTTTCGTTCTGCGGGGAAAGGTGCGTGGAAAAACGCCGCTTGTTGGCCTGTTACAGCAGTTGCCACAAATGCCCCCACCTGCGAACACCATGGTTGTGGCGGTTCCATTGTGTGATGTCGCGATGCACATGCTTGTGCGGACCATCCCGCCAACCGACCAGGCAGATTTCGCCACTCTGCATGATGCACGTTCGTTCCTACACCGCTTCCGAAATGCTCTTGGCCGTCAGCCCAGCTCCCTGGGTCCGCAGAGCTTGCTTCGGCACCCGGGGAGCAGACCAAGCAGCACACTACTTGCTGTCGCTTGGTTTGCCTGCGCCAACCCGGGTTGAATGACTTGATGGCAGCAGCGGCCGCGACTACGAGTGAGTGACAAGCGCATGCTTGCGTCCAAATGCAAAGGACGCGGCGAACAGTGGCATCATGGCTCTCCCTACGTGGCCCACGAGCACCAACGTCAGAACGAGCACCAACACAAGGACTGCCGAGTTGCATGTGCTTCCTCGGCTGCCATCCCATTTGCACTGTGCCCCTGCGGCGCTGTCCTTGCGGTGGAACTTGGGGGGACCGCTGTTCCGATCGAGGCTGGCGCAGCTGGCAGCGACATGCCGTCTGTGTTTGCGATCAACGTGCCTGTTTCTAGCTGCGTGTCACATTCGTTTTGGTTTCAGGCTGGTTCATAGTCGGACAGGACAGCAAGAGGGAAGCCAAAAAGGAACAGTGGTGAGGGTGAAACTGCCCCATGCCGTTAATGTTTACAAACAGCCACTTAGAAAAGTTGTTGCCATTGGCTTGCACCTTCGAACAACACGAACGTAAATGGGTCATGTTAGCCACAGCCAACCATGGTGTCACCACTTCGTGCCCGACGTGTTGCATTTCACGGAGCACCAGCGGAAGTCGGAGGCGGGGCCGATGCCAAGCATGGCATGCACCTGTGTTTCCAAGCGTCCCCCAGTTCTTGGGATCCAGGTGGTGGCTTCCAGCCCACCGCGCTGCGGATTGCGCGAATAAATGAGCAGCTTGCGGAGCTTCAGGCACACCTCGTTATGCACACCAGTCCGTTTCATATCATTTCAGATAATCCAGCCCAGTGGGAGAAGCCCAGTATCACAAAAGATTCGCATTGGCTAGTTTTTCATCACAGATGGTTGCAGACTTCGTGACTGTATGATCTGCTCGATCGAAAACAACGGTTTGCCAGTGTCCAGTCCAGGCATTGATGCAAGTCACGATCCACAAGTTGGACAGCCAACAAGCCCGCCCCTCACTAATTACTGCATGTGCTTCGGGTGAGATCAGAATGATTAGAGACGTTTCAATAGGGGCGTATACGAAGTTCAAGCCGCAACGGCTCCGTTACGTGCAGGCAGACTCGGCGCTGGTGTTGCAGCGCCTGCGTAGTCGTTTGCTGGACAGCCTATGCCCGCAAAAGTTGCGGAAGACGGAGCGGCTCAGAAAGCTGGTGAAACTCGGGGTGCACCAGAGCGGTTAACCATCGAATGCTCGCAAACTCAAGACCTTCCATGCCATACTTGGATGCAAAGGAAGCGGCTGGCCGCATTGGAGCAGAACGTTGGCCGCAGCTTTTTTGCAAGCAGCGGTGGTAGACACAACCGGCCGAACACGTCAAAGGCTTTCATTTCTGAGTTACCACTGGCCTTGCTTGATGCCTATTATGTCTGTATAGGTGAGCAAGCCGAGTGCGTGAAAGTCATGGAGGCGTATCCACGATGATTCGGGATGCATGGGGTATTTTGGGATGTTCTAATTTTTAGTTCCCTGTCTACCGTTTGTTTTTCGCCGAATTTGGCAGGCCGTGTTGGCAACTGTAGAGCGGCCACTTGGCGATATCATTTTTGCGTGCTTTTGCTAAGACCCATTCGGTTCATCCACGACAGCTTCAGGAACGGGCAGGTGGCTGAAGCCGTGACCGATCCCCAGCTTTGGATTGATTGCATTCCGTGTGTGTACCCTTTCTTCATAACATGGAAGGTGCCACCACCTTGGTGGAGCTGACATGTCCTGTGATGTTATAATTGCTGCAATGCTTTTGCCTCTAGGCATATCATTGGCCGGAGCACTGTAGTTCGCCAATTGGCCAGGTTCTCGTAAACGTGAAGCAATGATGCCGAGCATGTGCCCTGCCGGGAACAGAGGGCAAGGAATCCAGCTTCAGCCCGACGTTGCAACTCCAAGCCAGTCGGTGTCATTGAATGATTTTGCAAGTTTTTGCCGTTTGTCACGGCTTTGGCAAATGGATCTCGCAACGGCAAGAGCTTGTTGATCACTTTTTCCGAGGTCGTGCTCCCCGTTTTCCTCATCGGCATCGCTGGTTGGCCAGCTTGGGAGGCAATTTGAACGGATGTATTTATGTTTATGCTTACGTTTACGTTCAGATCAGGTTTAGGCTTATGTTTATCTTCATAATTCTGTTTATGTTTATGCTAATTTATGCTTGTCCTTGTGTAACTGTATGGTATGCAGAAAATATCTGCATGTGTATGCGCAGTTGCATGTGTAAATGTATGCGTATGTATATGCAAATATTTGTATGTATGACGACCTCGGCACCTGGACGGAGCATGCCACAAAGGATGCTTGGAGCAGTGAGAACGGAAGATTCTGAGCGTTGGCGGCTTATTTTCTTTTTCAAAATGCTCGGTGGACCCCCGTAATGGACACCCATAAAACGGTAAGAGCTGTGAGGTCATGGTCTCGGGCTACCCGCCGGAACTATGTCGGCAAAGACAGCCCAAGAGGCACGAGAGAGCCTGCGAAGGCTAAGGTTTCCACGAAGATATATAAATATAAATACAAATACAAATATAAATATAAATATAAATATAAATATAAATATAAATATAGATATAGATATAGATATAGATATAGATATAGATATAGATATAGATATAGATATAGATATAGATATAGATATAGATATAGATATAGATATAGATATAGATATAAATGTAAATG